TACTTTTCACTTCTGTTCCACGAAACTTTTTCATTGTGGTAACACTTCACTTCTTAAGGGAACAGCAAAAATAAAGACTGCTGTTGGATTTTGAGAAAGGGAAAAATTTCGCAGAAACTGTTGAACAACGCAATCGCACCAGATTTGGTCCAGATTCACGCCAAGCTTGAGAATTTTTCAGGGGTTTCACATGATATGGAGCTTAGAAGAGCTCTAAAAGTCTCTCATTACTTTTCGATGGAAACAAAGGCCGTGTTACAGAAATAACATCCATTTTCATCCAACGGTGCTCTGTCATCGAATCTTCTTGAGAACTTTATGCCTCAACAGACTTTTGTTTCATGCATGTAAAGGAATCCCAAGATCGTTCTTGATCGGAAAATGTGAAAGACGTTCATTTGTGGCAAGGAATCGTGGCGAAAACTGGGCTGATTTTTGCATGAAGGTGCAGCCCAGCCGACTGAAGTAAGGTTCGCTTCTGCCCTTCTGCCCTTTCTGCTTTTTTGGCATTTGTTTGTTTCTCTTCTCACGTCTACCTTTCCCTTAATGGCTTTTTTTCTTAGAGGAGCACTACTAAAGAAAGAAAATGTTGAAAAGAAAGACGGACAAACACTCATGCATAGCAAGGAAAAAGGGACCTGCTCTCAGTCGGCTCGGCTGCACCTTCATGCAAAAATCAGCCCAGTTTTCGTCACGATTCCTTGCCATAAATGAACGTCTTTCACATTTTCCGATCAAGAATGATCTTGGGATTCCTTTACATGCATGAAACAAAAGTCTGTTGAGGCATAAAGTTCTCAAGAAGATTCGATGACAGAGCACCGTTGGATGAAAATGGATGTTATTTCTGTAACACGGCCTTTGTTTCCATCGAAAAGTAATGAGAGACTTTTAGAGCTCTTCTAAACTCCATATCATGTGAAACCCCTGAAAAAATTCTCAAGCTTGGCGTGAATCTGGACCAAATCTGGTGCGATTGCGTTGTTCAACAGTTTCTGCGACATTTTTCCCTTTCTCAAAATCCAACAGCAGTCTTTATTATGCTGTTCCCTTAAGAAGTGAAGTGTTACCACAATGAAAAAGTTTCGTGGAACAGAAGTGAAAAGTAATCGATAAACGTGAGGTGGACGTATAATTTTGGGACGTCGGCTGAGTGGCCTTTTACACAAAAATTATTGGGAAAAATTCCTGTGATCTCAAATAGAAAATTGATGTTCATAGGCAATTGCGTATTTATATGCGATACATTGTCACATAGGAGACTTTTTTCGAACATCTGTATTTCTGAGATTTTGGGAAATTCTTAGGTGGACGTATAATTATGGGACGCAGTGTATCAACCAAAATCTCAAAATTTTAATTTCCTCGAAACTTCGCCCATAGGGGTTATTCGATGCCTGATTACGAAAATGACATTCATTTTTGACGTTGGCGCCATCTGGCGCCAATTGGCGCCAGTTTGGCGCCAGGGCTATTTTCACCAAATTCGCTGTAAACTTGTATACAGGGGTTATTTGGGGTCCTGATCACGAATATAACATTCATTTTTCCTTTAGCGCCAGTGGGCGCCTGTTTTCCGCTCGTCTGCGCCCTCTCACTGATCAGCCTCGCGATCGGGACTAAGCCTTTGAGGAGGAGAGTGCTCCGAAGTGAATAACACTTATCCTGTGATCTTATACGCTTTAACGTTTGCCACATGTTGACTGGTTCACCCACCCCGGAGTCCTCCCTCCTTCTAGGCTCAGTCCTAGGTATTATGTACAAGTGAGAGGACCCAGGAAAATGGAAAATGTGCGTTGAACGGTGGAAATGCTAAAAACGAATGACATATCCGTAATCAGGACCTAAAATAACCCCTGTATACAAGTTTACAGCGAATTTGGTGAAAACAGCCCTGGCGCCAAACTGGCGCCAGATGGCCAAAACGCCGAATGAATGTCATTTTCGTAATCAGGCATCGAATAACCCTTATAGGCGAAGTTGGGCGAGGAAAATTCAAATTTTGAGGTAGTTGGGGTATGGAGTAGTTGAAGTTTTGTGCCATTATTGTGTGATCGGCTCTTTAACAAAGTGGGGTGGCCACGCCAGACAGTGACTGCTCTCACCCCACCTTCTAGAGCTACACTCCTGGCCTCACGGGATTACTCGATTCTGCGTTGTAGTAGATGGGGCAGACCCACTTATACACATTTCTGTTCAAAAAATGCGGCATGCCCACCCTACTTGTGTAGCACCTGTGATCGTTCAGCGCATTGTGTACTTTGCTCACGTTCGTGCCTGCCCAGCGCTTTCGCAAAGCGAAGGGGATGGGGAGCAAACTCCAAGGAAAGTGAAATTACCCTTTCCGTGGAATTTCTTTTCTTCCTTCCCATAACTCCTAGATCAGTTTCAGGTTTCAACACTACAAAAAGTCCTGAAATTGATCTAAAAATGTTTGCCGCGATTTTAAATGTGAAGCTGCATACCACCTCTCAATCGAGAACTTTGTGGCATTATATTAGTTTGTTTCTTCAAGAGTTGTTCTGAAGTCTGGTCGTTTTATTGTATTGTGCATTCAAATGAGACAAAAGTTAATATGAAATGAACGACAGAGCCATCTGTATTGGCTCTATAGCCATCTTGCGGGGATAGCCTGGCAAACTAAACACGTTTTTATCGTGATTGATGGAGTTCCCTAGAAACGAAAGACCTCAAAGCAATACGTGTGTAGTGCGGCTAATGTGGATTCGACTCGATTTATTCAAGGACTATGTATGCGGGATAACGAGTCATTATGCTTCCACTCTCACAGAACCGTTACAATCAGAAATATTGAAGGACACGCGCAGGCCTGCTGTGGAATGGAGTACGGGAACTGGGGGTTGTGTAGGTGTTTCAATGTTGAAATTTGTGATTTTAAAATTTACTGTAGACTGGCATTGTAGTAAAGAATGGTGGAGAGCCCTTAGGTCGGAACTAGTTTTTACCATAAAATAGAAGGCACACAGATTAAGGTTGTAGACCCTATAGACGCTTTTTGAACGCTTTACTCTTCATTTTGCCGGATTGCAAACTGAGCAGCCAAAGATAGCCGTTTGAGGTTTTGAGTGATATCATTTGGAAAAACAAAAATATTGCCTTTTCTTCGGTTGGTTTTTGTAACCCCTGTATGGGCCAAAGGACATTCTGTGCTACTGCGATTCTGAATGAATATAGGAGGTGCAACACTGCTCTCTAAGCGAATCATCGAATTTTCATACCTTTTGTCATTTTTTGTGCACGATTTGTTATGATATGATACGTTCCTACAAAGTTAATTGGTTGGGTATCAGCTAGAGCGAGCTGGGTGTTCACGTAGCCTTTTACCAAGTTTCTTGCGTAATGAAAGCCATAGTCTCGTTCATTTGGTACACTTTATACACGGCTTGTTATACACTTACTGGCCTGTTGCGAAGAGGCTAAAAGTGAGGCAATAATGTCGCAAAATCTACTAACTAATACTAGGTTAGAAGTATTCTTTATTGGGCGCTGGGAACGAGGGTCGTAAATGAATCCTGTAGATAGATTATGAAGGATAAAGCCCAAAGTAGGGGGATGAGACCACACTTCCGCTCCTTCAAGGACGTGGTGACGTTTGAATGCGCGTAATGCCTATATGAAATTTTTCAAGGGAGCTCTCCAATCCGGATGTGTGGGTATATTTCTCTCGCTCTCGGTCTTCTATCTCTTTTAGCAAGTTCTTGGATACCGAACTGGTCGAGTTTGAAGAATGAAGGCTTCATGGAGCAGGGGTGGTTCGGCCAGAAATGCACTCGTGCTGATGTAGGGACACTTCCGCCTACGCTAACCTCTCCTAGAAGAGCGTCATTAACATTTCGGATGCAGCCCAATCAGACATTTTTCAGTACATTGTGACCAATTTCAGCAGCGCTAGGACTGGCGCTGCTATTGCAAGCTGTTCATGTTTATCACCCAGATGCGTCATATGCCAGAAGCCTATCAGAGAAATCTAAGACATATGCCTCTGCCTTCTCCTAGCCCTATCGAATTATCTGTCAGATCAGTTGATAAAACACGCTATACGCTCAATACTTCAACTTCAACTTTGGAAAAATTCGGGGTGCCATTCTTTATGTGAAATATGTCATCTTTAAAGGGATCCTTCACGGAGAATTCTTACAATATGAATGTGCCTTTGTGATCACCAGAGATAGCACACAAGGTTTCGCATGGGATTCAGTTTTCTGAAAAGAAACAAACTTACAAAAACTACACTCTATGGACAATCGAAGGTAATTCGGGCGGAGCCAAAGGCGAGGCATGGAAAGAAGTTGGCCTTTGGTCGGCTACGTATCAGGCGACGCAATGAAAATCGGGTTAAGCGCGCGCGATTTCGGAGAGTAGAGGACAAATCGATCGAATAGGAATAGGAAGTGGGCTAGAATGTTTGATGCTTGGGTTATGTTTGCGTATGGACCAAGTGGATGCATTTCCTCCGCCGGCCAGATGTGACAGATGTCCGGCGGGAATTGAAACGCGTAGCAGTTTTTCGTTTTTCGAATTGTTTACCAAACAAATGCAATTTTTGTTCTTTTGTTCTTATTGTGGACGATGGATTTTGAGCTAGTGATTTATGGGTGAGATAGAATCATGATTTTTTGAAGGATTCCTTTGAGTTTTTGTAAAGGTCCGTACGGTAACTATCAAGAAGGTGGGGGCTGGGAGTGCACTTCCTCAAAGGGGACGGCTGCATCGGAAGGAAATAAGCTTCCAGTCGGACTCTCTATAAGCAGCTCTTGTACTCTGTGATCCCGCCTCTTGTTTCACATATTTCATCTTGCTCTACAATTCTTTTCACTTATTACTAGCGTTTTCAAACCTTACTCATTTCTTCACTAACTATAAACGTGAATATGCGATTAGAGCAATTCGTTGGAAAACCGGTTTGAACGAAGTTTTTCTAGTGTTTGTGTAATGCCCTCGTCACTCTCAACGGCGACCTCAACAGCGCAGTTGTTTCGATGCTGTCTTCTGCAACCGAGGAGGCTGCTGAGCTCGCAAAATGTGACGTAATTTCTCATCTGGTAGTGTGATTTTCATAGTTCATGGATCATTTGGATGACTTGACAAATTTTCATTTCACATAGCAAGAGTGGCTCCATTCCAGGCCAATACAAACAATGTGATCGATCCATTTCTACGCCAGACTGATGTTCGATTCAGCACGAGCTCAGGCAGTGAGATTTTGGTCGAAGCGGTTTACCAGGTACGGTTCTTCCATACTCAGCTGGGATAATAAATATAAACAATAACATGAACATATGATTGAAATTAATGCAGATCTTAGAAGGAGAAAATATACAGAAAAGAAGCGCGTCTAACGCGAGTCAGCAACTAGCTTAATCAAAGTAAATCTGTGATTGACTTTATTGTTAGATTCTTCAAATTGGTCTTTAGTCCTTCAGAAAGGGCATTTGGTACTACTCTTTTTTTGTGAAGAGAAATCCTCACGTAAGTGCATTGGCTGCTCTCCGCAAGTTTTTTGCAGATTTATGTGCTTCCACCTCTGAGAAGGAAAATCATTTGTCACCTCTCCACCTCGCTTGAAAGCGATTGTTCTCTCAAATTTTAGGACTTGTGACGTTTTAGCGGGTGCCATAGAAGTCAGAATAAATAAATAAAAAATCGAAGTGTATGAATGGAGGAGAGGAAACCATCAGCACATGCGTGTGGCACGTTTCTGGCACGGCATACATATTTCTAAGTGTTCATTGCATAGGAGAGGTTGAGCTCTGGTTACAGTTAAAGGGTTCCACTATTAGGTCGGGGTTCGAAGAAGGGGAATATGTCTAGTGGACAGTACTTATACTTAGAATACTTAGACGACCCGTCCATCAGCACGGCGGTTGGCCTTGCGCGGGTCCCAACTTCTTTTCCATTGTCTCGATCTTGGGCTATGGTTGTCCAGTGTGTGGTCACCCTAAAGGACTCTGGATCATAGATGTTGTTTCGATGAGCTAGGGAATCTGCCCATCGTAAAGGAGGACGGCCTTGCGGCCGTTTCTTCTGGACAGTATAAAGATGAAATATGAGCATCGGCTCTTTAGTGCAATGCGCGTATCCCAGCTTCCCAACAAAGCCGTGCGTGCCGTCGCGCCGCTCGCGCCACGGCACGCCCACCATCTAGCCGTCTCACTCCAACTGTAGCAGAGGGAGCGTTAGCGTCGAAGAGGTCAGCACCAATGAGAGTCGCTTGACCATTGATGTTTCTCGGGTGCAAAGCAGTTTCGCTTGCTCTTTCGTTCGTCCTTGTATCACTGACCGCCTCTTTATTGATCCTTGATGGACTCTTCCTTTTCATCGTAAGCTAAGGAAGTCAGTAAGATTGGAAGCTTGTTTTGTATGAAATTTGAAGCAAAGTCTTAATGTTTCAGGACACCTTGCCATCCGGATCCCGAATAGGTACAGTGGTAGCCATACATGGTGCTCCAGGATCCCACAAAGATTTCAAATATGTTACACCGTTGCTACAGAACAAAGGGATACGATTCATTGGTGTCAATATGCCTGGCTTTGGTCTTACCCCAGGTTCGTTTTGCCATTATTTTTTTTTGTCCAAGCAGACCAGCCCAGGCTATGTTGAACAAGAGATCAAAGGGAATCTTATATGCAAAAAAAACTGACCATAAGGAAGTAGGGGGCTTATTTTGGATAAAAAGGAGAGCATTCAGAGAAACGGGCTCAATATGGCCATTAAATAAGTTTTGGTAACGATTTTTTGTAGTCACATTCCTCGAAAACTCTTTGAAGCAACCACTTTTGTGATGTGGCTGGAAGTCCGCAAGAACCACAAGGTTACTTTCATGGCTTATAACACCGGACTGCAGACACAGAAGACGCCCATTATTGCGAATGCGCTGGTTCCTGCGTCTCGCTGGTCCTCTGTGTTCCCTCGCCTCCGAGTCTGCTCTCCCGCTTCGGCAAACGGTGCTTTTGGGTCCTAGCGTCTGCCTATCTTCTAAACTCGTACGGCACCATTCAAAAAAGAACTCTGTAATTATTTGTCCCTATAGCCTCCTTTCCTTTTTTAACAGGCAGTCCATTGTCGCCTCTATTCTTTCTTCTAGCGTAACTCCACACCGATAATCGTGGAGTGTACCGTTAACTACCAGTATCAGTCATTTTCATTGTAGATTTATTTCATAACTTTTTGAAGGTGACTCTCGGCTACGATGCGATAATACGGAACGTAACAATTTTGTGGATGAACTGATTGCCAGAATCGGCAATGTCGGACGATTGGTGGTGATGGGACATAGCAGAGGATGTGAAAATGCGACAGCTGTGGCTGCCAGGAACGTAGTAAGTTCAGCTATTTATCGCCTCAGCCAAAATGGAATATTGAAAGCTGAGAAGAAAGAACTTTTTGTGTCTCATTGTCTCAAACCTTAAGGTGATGCTTCTATTAATGGAAAGGTGGACCGTTTGCGATCAGACGGTGTAGGGACGGAGGTGGTGTAATGGCAAGTGGCGCTTCATCCTCTGCGCAAGGTCGGGGGGGGGATGAAATCTTGGATCGAATCTCGACAAAGCTCCCATCCTTGGAGTCGAATGGTACCAGATTTGTTTAGATGGTTCAAAACACTGATGTGCATGGGCTGACCCCCACAAGCCATTCTTCAGGCCATACCGCAGTCCATTGCCTCTACGATCCTGAAGGGAAACAGAATGCATGACCAAATATGCATGACCTATAAACACTGAAAGCTTTACCCTTAATCTTTTCAGCAGGTTTGGAGCCTGTGGAGTTCATGAATAAACTCATGTAGACAATCGTTCTGCGCTTCAAGGGTGTGGCTCCTTTGACATAGGCCTCAATTGTTAGACCAATTCCGTTTCTGCGCTTTCAAGGGTGTGCTCCAGAAACAAATGTGTGGTGTAGTGAAGTGATAAGTGGTCAGACGCGCGAGAGTAAGGCTTTTAGCCAAAGCCGAATTGCTATTGTGGTGTGAAGTTGTCTGCCAAAATTCCCCCCCATTCCTGCCCCATTTATGCCTATCGGACTTCTCGCAGACAAGGAAAACTCAATGTCGTGCTCAACAGCTATTAAGGTATCTTCTATCAAAAGGGTATCCGATAGCGATTCCGAATGGTCGGCTACGTCCGTCATCTCAACATTAAGTATCGCTGGTCAGTCATAAATAATTCATTCATATAATCAATTACAGATGACAAAATTCTAGCATTACCACACATGTTGGCGACCAAGCGGATTTTGGGGTGTCTGCCGCGTGGGACCACGAAAAACCAGCAAGTAAAATTTATTCGCAAAAAGCTACTAGATATAGCAAATTCAATGCGCTGATCACGAATATGGCAATGGTTCAGAGCGCTCGCGTCACTGGGCGCCAGTTTGACGCCAGCGTGGCGCCATCTTGGCGCCACGAATACTTTTCATGTCAGATTCGGCGAAAAGCTGTAAGTAGAGGTTATTCTACGCCGTGAGCACGAATACGGCCCTGATCCCGAATATGACAACTTGTGGCGCCAAATTGGCCGCCATATGGTGAACGCTTGGACGCTCTATTGCCAGAAAACGAATATGCAGCTCACTGACTTCAAGATTTCAATCGCGGAAGAACTGATGAACATAAGTTCGAGATACACTCCAACTCAAGGCAGCAAACGTAAGCTGATTGAAAAGGAGGACCTCCCTTCGCGCGCCCGGAGACGATGTCGAGGCTGCTACAGCAAACTTTCCGACGAACATGGGCGTTATTACGCTAAATGCCATACTAAGAAAGTGAGAACTCAATGTAATAAGTGCGAAGGCTTCTTCTGTATCGAGTGCTTTCAGACACGCCACAAATCATGCGAGAAATCGTAATTGTTAATTGCATTATATTATGTTCATTGTTATTTTCAAAATATAGTAAAACCAAATCAAGTGAAGTACCTAATGCAAATGAATAATTATTAGCCTGATGAAATAAAGAAGTGGTGAAAAAAAGAAAAAAAATCCAAGCATTTCTATAATTTGGGGGTGTCGCCCGACATCGGGCGCCATCGTCCCACGCGGATGTGTTAAATGATGTCAATATTGATGTGTGTGCGTACTTCCAGGACAAACTAACCGGCCTAATGCTGGTGAACCCCACTGGCCTTCGTCTTCATCGAGGATTGCGGCCATTTTGGGTGATCAGGTTTCTGCTATGGCTGGATTCACTTGGATCCATAGCCAGGAAAATATTGCATCCACTTCTGAAATTTTGTAAGTTTCTCGATGTTTGTTTTTTTTTACATTTTTATTGATAATGAGCGCATAGGTGGTGTAGTGGGAAGTGCAACTTTGTTACTGACGTACAGTTCTGGGGACAAGTTCCTGGATTCATATCACCGCAATCTAGAGCCACCAAGCTCACATTCCTGGTTCTCCGAAATTCGCTTGATGGATTGGATTAAGTCTCGGGAACCCAAAAAATAATAAGTTTATCCGCTGGTCGCGCAATTGGTTGTATAAGCCGAATTGCGTTCAAGCATCACTACCATTCGGAATGGAAATATAATAGGATGCATGGCAGAAGAAGAAAGGAAAGAAAAAGAAACTTTTAGAAAGGAACTGATAAACACCGAATACTCTATCCTTTTCTGTGGTAAAAGGACTCTACTGGGATCGTATAATAACAACTGTTTTGACAGATAGGCTGTTCGGTGGATATCTCCATAGAGCTTTTACTGAGCTTATTTTCTGAAAATAATTCAGTTGTAAACACCAATATGCTATTGTCTACGAACGTTGATTCTGGTGAACGGGCAATGATGTGTGTTCGAACGATGTCTCACCTTGAACTCGCAAAAGGCTTACAACCTAATATAGACTGTATTAATCAAAGCCCCGATGTAAGTTGTGAACTGATTGTTGTATCTCAAATTACTGCTGTGCACGTGCGTCAGTAATTTTCATTGTAGACCGCGTGCTTATGGCGTATTCTGGCAAGGATTTCCTCATTGAGACGAGTATTTCCCGAGAGCTCGCGAATTCGTTCAAAGGTCATAAAGAACTGGTGAGTGGAAGTGTTGCTTCTTGTTTTACGTTACCATGGGTTACTCTATGGGCGTCCATAGCATAGTGCCAACGTGGCACCGCGTCACACTTCCAGGGTCCAAATCAGGGTCAACCGTCGCATTTGCACTTTACCAAAAATTTTCGACCACCGTTCCCCTCTAGGGGTGTCGACGCAAGCCCCAACCACAGCTATCTGCCCCAGGAGGCTCCTCACATACGACCCTCCTCCCCCTACCCTGATCCCCACCCACCATCATGCTGTGTTTGATTGATGCTGACGATTTTGCTTTTTCTGTAGTATTTAATTCCGAGACCGGCGGACACAGCCCAACGGCGCCCACTTTTGCTTCCAAAACGCCGAAAGGGGCGTCGAGTGGGGGGGGAGGGAGGGAGGCAGGGAGGGGAAGGTCACTGGTAACATGAAGCGGTGAATCCATTTTGCCTACTCCCCCCTACTTTCATAGCCTTCAAAAAAGTCTTCGATTAAACTTTCGACAGACTCGTCGAACTTTCTTCAAGGTAGTTAACCTTTCTCAACCCCAAAACGGGACCCTATGAGAAAGGTTACATAACTATCTTGAAGAAAGTTCGACGAGTCTGTCGAAAGTTTAATCGAAGACTTTTTTGAAGGCTATGAAAGCAGGGGGAGTAGGCATAATGGATTCACCGCTTCATGTTACCAGTGACCTTCTCCCTTCCCTGCCTCCCTCCCCCCCCCCCCCACTCGACGCCCCTTTCGGCGTTTTGGAAAGGAAAAGTGGGCGCGTTGGGCTGTGTCGACCGGTCTCAGAATTAAATACTACAGAAAAAAAGCAAAACCATCAGCATCAATCAAACACAGCATGATGGTGGGTGGGGATCAGGGTAGGGGAGGAGGGTCGTATGTGAGGAGCCTCCTAAGGGCCGATAGCTGTTTGGTGGGGCTTGCGTCGAAACTTGTAGAGGGGAGCGTGTTCGGAAAAATTTTTTGGAAAAATGCAAATGCGACGGTTGACCCTGATTCGGACCCTGGAACTGTGACGCGGTGCCACGTTGGCACTATGCTATGGACGCCCATAGAGTAACCCATGGTAACGTAAAACAAGAAGCAACACTTCCACTCACCAGTTCTTTATGACCTTTGAACGAATTCGCGAGCTCTCGGGAAATACTCGTCTCAATGAGGAAATCCTTGCCAGAATACGCCATAAGCACGCGAGTCTACAATGAAATACTTGACGCACGTGCACAGCAGTAATGAGTACAACAATCAGTTCACAACTTACATCGGGGCTTTGATTAATACAGTCTTATATTAGGTTGTAAGCACTTTTTGCGAGTTCAAGGTGAGACATCGTTCGAACACACATCATTGCCCGTTCACCAGAATCAAGTCGTAGACCAATGATATTGTTGTAAACTGAAATCTATTTCAAAAAGAAAATAAG